ATAAGATTTCAGGGTAAGGTCTGCAGAATTTGTCACAGTGTTCGGAAAGTTACTCTAACATGAGGACTATTACAGAAAATGATTCCTAGACATTTGTATTTCAAAGGACAGAATGAGCCACTCCAGCACAGTGAACCAATTTCAGGGACAGGAAATCTGCCACAGTGGCTGAAAAAGTTCTGGTAACACAAACAGCTACAGTGTCTGATTCCTTGAGATCTTTCTTTCAAATGCAATATGCTACAAAGACTTTTCCTTCGCCATCCCCCACCCTACCCCCCAAGTTGCTCAAGGCCCAGCAAGCCACCCAGTTTTACATGTCTAATTCTGAAATCAAAGTCCCAGGCAGGGAGAGGGATTGTCACAAGTAATTGCAACATCCCACAAGAATTTGTTTGGAGTTAAAAGGAGCCAAACCTGGGACTTCTCCAAAGCTTGCGAGTCTGAGCTTTTGAGAACCACATTTGATCTGTTCCAGTGCGTTGAGTGTAGATGTTTGTCTTGTACCTGCTTGGCAGTTCTAGGGGACCCTGTAGAACTCCTGTGGCCCACCATGGTGCTGGGTGTGGCTCCCCCTAGTAGAGGACAGCATGGGGATCAGCTTGAATGAACCACAGGCCCCATGGTTGGCCCTAACCTTCAGAGCCATGCTAGTGCTGGAAACACAAGCCAGGAGAGAAGGAGGGACATGGGCCCTGAGGGTCGAGGGCTCACATGTGGCTACAGAGAGGGACTGGGAGGGGAGATGAGGGAAGGGGGGAGGGCAGGGGAGGGGAGAGGGCACACTGTTCCCTTCTTCCTCCGAAGCTCACACACTCCCTGCACCCTTGCCCTTGCCCCTACCTTATGTCATTTTATCCTTACATGTTCACATCGTGGTATTATTTTGAAATGATACTCTCTCTTTCCATATAAAGCATAGCCACCTTCAAAGTAACAGCTTAAGGCTCAAACATAGAAGCTACCCTGACTGTATCTCAAGATAGCCCAGTGGTACTGGGGGATACAGTTGGCTGTTATGAACCAGATACAATCATCATCATCATCATCAAATAGTCACCACATCCTGAGCCCTTACTTTGTGCACAGCAACCCCCCCCCCCCCCGATTGACTTTGCTATTTCCCTATTTGACAATGTCGAGTCCAGGCCTGGTGAGGTTAAGTGGCCTGCCCTAGGTTGGTCAGAATGGCAGCCAGGCCTCCAGAGAATCTGGGACATTGCCATGGCTCATTTTCTGTAGGAAGGAGCAGAAGGAAGCAGAGCCCAGTGAGGTGACTGCCAGTCCCACCAGTCCCAAACTGCCAGGTACTAATGGAAGGGGCGTTCACAGCATGTCTTTCCTGAGCCCCAGGTCTCCTACAGCCTACCAGGACCCCTGGGACATGATGCCTCGAGGATGGAGATGGAGTGGGAGAGGAGCGGGGAGGGCTGGACAGCTCTGTCTGGGCTCCCAAGAGAATGCTCAGTCACCGTGGGCCTGCCTCCCTCCTCCCTGTTCTTCAGGATGTCGGGGGTGAGGCTTTCTCTGAGAAGTAGGTTACTCCTCATTCCCACCACGCTGGCCCTAGCTTCAAAGAACACAAAAGAAAGCCAGAGCAGGCCAAGGTAGATCTCTGCTTGGAGGCCATCTGTCCCTCAGCCCAATTTCTTTTCAAGACAGCCTAATATCTCTTTGTCCCCACTGCTGATTTACATGGCAGGTTTATTTAATTAGCCAGAGATGAGTCAAAGTGCAGCTTGTCCTCACAGTTAATTAATATTTACTGAGCCACCACACGGTGAGTGACGCCAAGGCTGGACTGTGTCCTCTATATCAGCTCAGGGAACAGACTTCAACCCCTTGTGCCTGGCTGGGATTGGAAACCGGAACCAAAGAGTAGGGACGTTGGGCCTTGGAGCTACTAAGAGGAACAAATGAGGTCATCCACCCACTGTGCCTACCACAGTGCGTGGCACGTGGTAAGGACTTAGAAATTGATCACTGTGTTTGTGAATGTCAAAAAGGAGTGGCAGGGCAAGGGGGCTGAGAGACCATGTTCTGTAATGGGACCTATTCCAGCAGAGGTGGAGGGAGTAATGGCAGCAGACGCCATGGGATGGGCCCACCTTCAGGCGCACTCACGTCAGCATCATCCATGAGGAAATTAGGCATGCTTCTCCCCTTTCCAACAGGCTTCCTGGTGAAACAGGGGAAAGTGAAGGGTAGCTGGCCCTGGAGGAACTCAAGCAGAGCATGAGTAAATGGAAGCTCTCCTTTAGCTGTGGTTTGACCACAAAGGGAAGGAAACCTGGCCTGGGCAAGGGAGTACTGGCAAAGAAGCACCTGCGTGGTCCCTGCTAGGCCAGGACCCTTCCCCTCCTCAGCCCAGTTCTGCACACACCCCAGAACCCTACCCCACTCTTGGAAGACTTCTGACCCTGGCCCTTCTTCCAAATGGTGCTTCCTTGGACCCTCTCCTGTGGAGTGACCTGCCAAAGCCCTCACTGTGGCAGGATTTGGTGGCCGTGCTTGCCCTCTCCCTCTCCCTCCTCCCGGGCTGCCACACCTGAGGGGCATCATAGAGCCTGCCCTACCTGACTTCAGGGCTGTGGGGGAGTCCCATTACCCAGAGCCCTCTTTGTGGTTACTGGCTCTGGAGAGCCAGCCCCTGACTCTCCTGGCTCATCACCTGACAGCCTCAGTCTTCCCCGTAGAAGTCCCAGCGTAGCCAGTGCCCGAATGTCCAGGCTCTTCTGCCAGGTTGACCCCATGGCCTCCTGAGAGCCTGTCTCAGAGTTAGGTTGAGAGGCCATCACGAAACAGCCAGGATCCCAGGTACAGACAGGCCTTTGTGGAAGCCAAGGCTAAGTGGGAAGTCACACTACTGAGACAAGACCCAATGGTCTGTCTGTCTCCAACTGCCAGAAAGATGGCTTTTCTAAGTTAAAAATGAGGCCGTATAACAGCGGCCCTAAGACCTGGGCAGATTTGGGCTGGAGGTCAAAGTAAGGCCTGCAAGTTTCATTTTTTGGTTCGCCACATCTTCTGTACAAAACCTGAGACTGGGCAGAAGGGGTCTTCCCAATTACCTTAGATGAATTCGGTAAGAAAGTGGAATGGGAAAAAGGGAAGAAACCACACACGGCAGCCGGATTGTCTAGGACAGCCTGCTCTAGTGGGTTGGAGGTTCTAGGGCCCCTGCGCCCTCTGCTGGCCGCTCAGACAGGCTCTTGCCCTCGGGCTTCCTCCTCCCCAAGGAGGCAGCCTGCTGCTCCTCCCCGCGCTACTCCACCGTCCTGCTTCCCCTCACTCTTTCTTTTTTCTTTTCTTTTTTTTTTTTTTTTTTTTTTTGGCCTTTGGACCTAGGCACAGCTGTCTCTCTCCCTTCCATAATCTGGGCTTCCTTCTTCCTGACAAACACCTCCGCATCTAACCCAAGCTTTTGGGGGTGGGGTGGGGTGCAGAGAGTAGTGTATGGCCCAACTGCCTTGCTTTCCTAGCTGCACGCATGCCCCTCAGAACTGCACGTGGCAACCTTCCTCACTCAGCCACCACCTCAGAGCAAGACTTTGCTATTGCTTCCCAGAAGGGCGTCCAGCTTCCAGATCTTCCTTCTCCCTCTGTCTTTCCCATTGCAGAAGCCAACCTCTAAGGGCCTCTGGGATTGGCCACCCCAACTCTCCCACACCAGTCCTCCACTCTAGATTGGACCAGGACTGTCTGTCCTCTCTCTTCTTCCCTCTCTCTCCTTCCAAATCCGGCCCATTCAGCAAATTCTCATGGCTCTAGTGCTCATACTCTGGCCCATCCCCACCACACCCTCCCCTGAGCTCATGCAGCGAGGCCACTTGCTGTGCCAATAGTCTCCTGAGTACCTTTGACTTCTGAGATTGGAAGTACCTAGAGGGCAAGGACTTTAATCTCCCACAAAACCTAGGGCAGTGCTAGGCTCCCAAGGGGCACTGGGGGCCACATGGAATGCTGATCTTTCTGATAACCTCCGAGCATCGCCTCAGAGCTCTCCACCTGCGGAAAGGTCTGAGTGTGGTAAGTCCTGGTGTGGCTAAGTCCACCAAGGTTACTGCCATGGACAGGTCACTGCAGAAGGAGAGGAGATGTGGGGAGCTTTCCCAAAATGACTAAGAACCAGAGAGTGGCTTTTAGTTTCCAGAGAGACTGGGTGAGGGGAGGGGGGAACCAGTAGGGGATGAGGTCCCTGGGAGTCCATCATCATGCTAGTGGAGAAGCCCACGCGGAATATCGAGGACGTGCATCCAAGGGGAAACCCCCCAAACCTCATAGATGCCGCGTTTCCTATCTTTCCCCCATTCCTCCAATTTCGGCTTGCCTCCGGGTTCGCAGCCCCGGGACAGATTCTTGCGGGACCTCGAGATGCGCCCAGTGCTGCTGTGGACAGCTCATTCCGCGGCGGTGGCAGCGGCGGCGCCAGGCGAGTCCCCGGCGCCGCCAGGGGGCGAGTAGGGTGCCCGCCGGCTCTCGGAGCGCCGGGTGCGCGGGCGCTGCCCTCCGGGAGGCCGGGCCGGGAAAGGCGCGCCCGCCAGGACCGCCTTTGCCGCCGCCGCTGCCTCAGCCTGGCCCGGCCGCTACGTCCAGCCCCGCCCTCTGGCCCGTTTGGCCGCTCTGGGGCCCCCAGGGCTGGGCCGGGCGCAGCCGCCGGGCGCCTTCACAGGTGGCGGGGCAGACAGCGCGCCCGACTCGGCGCGCCACCGGGCTTTGCCGGGCAGACACCCCGCGCTCCCTTCCCGCCCCTCCGCCGCGCTCTTGGCAGCCCCGGCTCTGCTCTCGCGGCCGTCCAGATTGCCGGGCCGGTGACTGAGTAGGCCGCACCCTGGGCGCAGCAAATGGAGGACGCTGGCATTTGAGAGGGGAACAAGGGAGGACGCAGCTCGACTCCCCGCGTTCTCCCGGGCCCTCCGAAGCGGCCGCGGGCAGTGCGCAGGAGGCTGAGCCCTGGGGTTCCGGCCGCGGGTGCCGGATGAGGGACCCCGCGCGAGGCCGGCGGGCGCGCACGCTGTGCACCTGCACCTGTTGGAGCGGGCCTCAACCTGCGCCGCCCTAGCCGACCTCCCAGATAGACGCCAGCCCGGCTGCGGTCACCTCCCGAAGCGGCCGCATTTGGCTTTAGGAAAACAAAACAAAAAAGTGGGTTTACAGTTGCACACGTCGACTCCCCTATGGGACAGCCAGTGGTGAAGACCATATTTTGGTAAGTCTGTGGGCTGCAGCCTGAGACACCCCCCCTCCACGGATCAGGAAGGAGACCTGCCTCCCCCCACCCCACCCCCACACGACCTGGACCTTGGCACTGCTGGGGATCTTTAGTCTTTTATTTTTTCCCCTAAAGATTTTAATCTCTGCTCCCGGTGTGGGGACCGAACTCACAACCCTAAGATCAAGAGTTGTAGGCCCCACCGATTGAGCCAACCAGGCGCCCCTGGATCTTTCCTCTGGATGAGACGCTGTTTACATAGAAAAGGAGTCCATTCTCTGGGACCCAAGTCAGCCTTTATCAGAACATGTCAGGCCCGCCAGAGTTGGCAAACGTGTGTGTGTGTGTGTGTGTGTGTGTGTGTGTCCTCTTGGTGTCCACTCACTAGCCTGCATCCATTTTGGGTAAATATTTTTATCACTGAATGAAAGAAAGTCAAGTTTATGTTTCATTTCAAAGGAAGTCTTTGAAGCAGTACCTATTTGTTTATTTATTTAGGAGGGGGAAGGGCAGAGGGAGAGAGAGTATCAGGCTGACTCCACACAGGACTGGAGACCAGAAATGGTGGGGAAGAGTCTGTAGCTTAAAGGACTGAGCTACCCAGGTGTCCCTGAAATAGTACCTCTCTGCTTGCCTGCTAGTCAGTCACTCACATTTTGGTTCAGTTTGGTTTGATGTGGAGCTTTCTGCAACCCTCAAAGTAGGAATAAAAGATTAAGTGATGTCCCAATCCGCACATAAGCTCTGGTTTCAAATCTTGCCATTGAGCCCTGATTTCCACAGCAGGAGTGCCAGGCTGTGCCTGTCAGTCTGTATTCTGATTCTTGTTGGTCAGCCATCCTAGTAATACCACCTCCTAAACTCACAGTCCATAGGGGAGACAGACTATCAAGTAGAGAATTACAAGCCATGATCAAGAGAATCACAGGCTCCTTTAAACACATGTAAAGAGGGCCAGGAGGAATTCTAAGTGGGAAGGGAAGTAGGAGGTGCCGGAATGGGACATAGACCTGGCAGAATCAGGTATGGTGCTCACCTTTCTCCCGAAACATGATCCCAGAGCTTCTATAAGGCTCTTCCCTATACCTTGACCCTCACCCCCAAACCCAGGGAACCTCCCAGCCCTTGCACACAGCTCGGTCTCTGAGGATGCCAGGCACCTTTCCTTGGCCACGTGGGGCCCCACATGGCCACTGACTCAAGTTTCCAGGCCAGTAGGTGGGGCTCCAGGATGTGGGGCTGCCAGGTCCCAGCCTCCTGATCTCCATATGAGGAGCTGGGTTTGGGGCATTTAATAAAAGAACCCACGTTCCACTCCACATTCTGGGCTGCGTCGGGGTGGGACAGGCTACCATGCCTCCAGGTCAAGACTGCACTGCCCAGAGAGCCAGGGGGCCCCCCTGGGAACCCCACTACCACAACAAAGAGGCCAGAGGGAGCCCCTCTGTGGCTCGTCCCACCTCCAAACTGGCTCAAAGAAGGCTGAGGATCCCTCTGCCCCCACTGAATGGCAGTGGGGATACTAGTGCCACCCATGGCTGGTGACTGGGGATGGGTGCTGTCCACTGTGGGGAGCTTGACTTGGGCCTCAGCCTTAAGGGACACCTATGTGGCCAGGGCCACCAACCAACCTACATCCTTGGGCATAGCCTCTCTCTCATCGTCCTTGCTCTCCTCAGGGGAGCTTGACTGGGAATGCCAGGGTCCCTCAGCTGACACCCACAATGCCACAGGGGCAGGCTAGCCAGCAGCAACCTCTAGTACCTGAGGGGGGCCTAGACCCTCAGGCAGTTGTGTCCTCTGCATTTTGCTTCCTTTTGTCTTTACAGATGTGGATGAGCCCAATGTGTGTGTCTTCGGGGGCAGGTGTAACCCCCTGTGCTGCTGCTTGTTGTGAGGCCAAAGCCTGGGACCTCGGGGGATACTTGATGTCCCTGCTTTCCTTTGTGGCGCAGGCCATTAGGGAAGCGGGTCTCTCAGCCTCCACTCTGCCAGCTGCTCCAAATTCACAGTGGCTACAAAACTAAGGCCTCCCAGTAGAGGGCAAGGGGCCCCTTGTGCTGCTGGTGTCATTGTCCACGAGTCATCACCCTGGCAAGAAAAGCTGGAGACTCCCTGTTGCAAAGGCAGAAGTGTGGCACCGAGCAAAGGTTATCCCTGTGATCATTTTTCTGGCCAGGCCTGCATCCCAGCCCACTCTCGAGCCACCATAGTGCCCTGTGGCCTTCAGACCAGGGCCCCTGGCTCATGGTTGCAGAGCTGCCCAGCTGAGCATTTTATAGAAGAGTTTCCCACATGCAGAAAATGCACCAAGGCCTCCATGAGCTTTTGAACATGGAAGAGGTAAAGACAACAGCAGGACCACCAGGGGATCCCAGCATGGGGTGGGTACAGAAAAGGAGAGTGCCCCTGCTTTAGAGCCTGGTGGGCCCTCTCCACTCACTTCAGGTAACCGAGCTCCTCTTCAAGGTATTATAAATGTTCAACAGTTTCTGACTCTCTTAGGTTGGACAACATTAAAGTCTCCTGGGTAGATGCTAGTGACACACATAATAATAAGAGTAATACCACCATTTATTATTCTCTTAATGTGTGCACTCCGAGCTGAATGAATTATGTGAATTTTCCCATTCAGTCCTTACAGCTTTCTAAGAGACATGTGCTGTCGTTCTCCCCATTTCACAGCTTAGCAAACTGAGGCTCAGAGAAATGAAGTCACTAACCCCAGATCTCACTAGGATAGTTAGGATTAAAACAGATGCCTGTTTGTCTCCAGGGTTCGTACCTTCCATCCCTCCTACTACCATCCCCTAAGGCCCTGAGCTGGGGGAGGGAGGGGCAGTGGAGAGGAGGCCATGCTGGCGGCCTCCACACAGGTTGTCTTTCTGGTCTTGGGGACTGTGGCCTGATGGTAGGCAAAGAGGCCTCCAGATATCATGGCAGGGAGGTGGCGGCTCACCCATATTTCTGGTGGCTGAGCTCCCCTGCTGCTTGGGCTAACTGATTCTGCCCCCCACCTTGAGCCCAGATAGTGATTTCCCCGGACCCTGGACCCTGGACCCTGGCCCCTGGCAGGCAGGCAGTCATGAGATTGGGGACTCACCCATAAGGTCAGAACCTGCCACGGAACCCACTTGTTTGTCCCTTCTGACCAGGAGCATGCCTGGACTCCCCTGCCACGTGTCCCAGAGCTGCCCTGGCTTCTGCACTGGGGGAAGGTGTGGCCCTACAGAGGGGGTAGGCTGGGCATGAGGGGTACAGAACTGCCGCACTTAGGGTGCTCTCCCCTCCCCAGAAGGGATCACGAACCTTTGGGAAAGAGAATTGCCCCTGGTCCAGAGTTGCCACTGGGAGGGAAGGAGCTCTTTCTGGGATTATTACATTCAGTCCTTAAAGTGACACAAAGAAGGTGCTGGATGATCCATTTTACAGAAGAGGAAAGCTGCGGCAGACCGCCTCAGTGGGCATGTGGCCCTGTGGTCCACTCTGCTGCACTACCTCCTCACCCCTTACTAGGACAGTGGGGAGGGGGGAGTGAAGGTTGAGAGGAAGAGAAAGGGAACCTGAAATCCAGGATTTTGGGAGAGACCAGAGTCACCCTGGCTATCACCCCCACATGCACAATGAACTGTGAACTCCTAAAGCCAGAAAGACGTTGATCACCACTCACTGACCAAGTCCAGTGGAGCCCCCTCCACAGGCCCAGCAGTGGCACCAGCCCTGTCCTCAGGCAAATGGCAGTGTGAGAGGGAACAGGTACTTTACAAAGCACTACTGCGGAGATAGCAGGCATGCTAGAAGACGGGGACAGCTGGCCAGCCCAGCCTGGGACAGGGAAGGGTCAGGAGGGTGTCCTGGAGGGGGGTCCTAAAGAAAGAGCCGGAATTAAATTAGTGAGACCAAAGTGATCACCAGTGGGGGTGGGCAGATCATAGGAGCAAGGACCAGGGAAGCTTAAATCCTTTGAGGCTGCCAAGAAATGGGGATGAGGTGGGCAGAGGCAAAAGGAGAGGGCTGTGAGTGGGCAGGCCAGAAATCACAGACCCTAAAGGCAGGGCTTGTGGGTTTCCAAGCCTGAGGAACCTGGGACAGACAGACACCTTCCCACAGTCTCCCCACGGACATTGCTGTGAACCGGACCGGGAACATTTCAGCGTAATCGATCCTCAGATCGGCAAGTTCCAGAGGCTCCACACACTGGGGCCAACTTCCCCCACGCCCCACCCCCACTCCCCAGAGCTTGCCTGTTCCTCGCGCCGGCCAGCTGGAGTTCGGGCTCCCAGGTCCTCTGAGATTCCTCCAGACCCTCAGAAGGCTCTGGAGGCCCAGAGTTTTCCCTCTCCAGATTCTGTGGGGGGAACTGGGTAGGGATGGAGAGGAGAGGAATGGGAATAGAGTCAGAAGCCCCACCTGCAGGAGGAGCCTAAAGATCCTGCCTGAAGAACAGGACTTGGGCATGAGCAGGTTCTCAAGAGGCCCCTGCTCAGGCTGATATTTCTAGAAAGGGCCAAAGGGCAGGACTTCAGTCCCAACCTAAGCGCAAGCCAGCACTGCAGCCCTCCACCAGTCCAGCCGTGGCCTGCTCTCAGGGGAGCATGGAAGGGAGGACAAAGACAAGGACATGAAGCCACAGACCCCAGCCCTGGAAATGGGGTGTTGGTCGGCCAACTGGACTGCAGACTCTGCTTTCAGTTAATAATTTTTATTTCCTTGTGAAAGATTCTATTCTTTCATTAACAGTGTCATGCTTTGAAAGCAGCCCTTTCCGTAAGTGGGTTGCAGGTTGTGGAGACAGGTGTCTTAACTACGCTACCTAATGTCACCAATTTCTGCCTGAGATTAAAAAGACAGAAAGAGCCCCTTCCCTCTTTATAGATTGGAGAACTTCCTCTGTCCCCCCACCAGCTCCCTCCTTCTCCCCTCTTAATCCCTCAAACACAGAAGCTGGCAAAAGTTAAAGAATCAGTGAGAGAGAAGAGAGATTAGGCTGCCTCAGAAGAATGGGTCCCTACCCCACCTCACAGGCTGGCTGGAGTAAGTAGGGGAGGGAGGCTGGGGTGAGTTTGGGGGGTGTGACTCCCCTCTGCAGGACCTCTGAGCTTCCTGCATCAGGCTCAAGGACCTGGTGTCCTTATCAGAAGACTGGGCGGGGAGGAAACCTCACCTAGCTGACCATCCCCTCCCCAATCTGGGGGCCAGCCAAACTGTCCGACTCTGGGTGGCCTTACCTCCAAGCCATCATCAACGACGGTGATGGGAGCCACCACAGCAGCCACAACAAAGAAGATCAGATCATTTGCCATTCATTCCTTTTAAATCCTCCCAAACCTTGTGAGCATTTAATGAACCCCATTTTACAGACAAGGCAACTGAGGCTCAGAAGAGTTCAGTGACCTCCCAAAGCTACACAGTTTCTAAGTGCCAGTGTCAGGACTCACACGTGGTCTGACCAACTTCAAAACCTCTAGAGGGTGGATGAAGCTGGACCAACACCGCTCTTGCCCTACTACGCCCACTAACCCCAAACACAAGGCCTCACAGGGCAGCATCTTCTGCGCTCTGAGGCCTATCTGGCCTCCGCTTATTTATTTTATTTTATTTTTTGGGCTCTGCTTATCTTGAGCCCAGTTCTGCCCCAGGTCCTGGCCCACCCTTCCAGAGCTGGGCGGGCGGGGGCCGGAGCAGGCTGGGCTCAAGAAGTTTCTACCGCTCCCCCAACCTCAATGCCCCCAGCCCTACAGTTGTTTAAAACACAAAAGACGCCAAGATCTTATCTGTCTTATCCTTGCTCGTTGTGCTTGTAACACACTTGGCACGTGTCTCCAAAGCAAGGGCTGCTCGGGTGCTTCATGGGGAAGGGCCCAAGTGGCACAGTCCATGCGGCCTGGCACGTGGGAAGGGGCCTGAGCTCCGCTTGGCCCACGGACTGGGCCCAGCCTGGCCAGCATCAGCGTCACACGCACGTCAGAGTAGCCATGGTCACTTTTGTTAGTTGAGATTACTGCACTTGGCCCGGAAAAAGAGAAAAGGGAAAGGGCCCAACCCAACGGGCCAAAGTGGGTGAGGGAGGGGGCACCACAAATCCTGGGGGCAGAGTTGAGCAGAGATCTGTGGCTAGGGCTGGCAGGATGGCATGTCGGGGTTCTGGAGGTAGCCTCAGCACCCACCTGCCCCGGGGGTTCTCACCCTGCCTCCCCATTGCTTCCTGCTCTGACCCCACCATACCTGGGGCCCCGGAGAACCCCTCCCCCACCTCCCAAGAACACAGGCTTTGGAGTCAAAGGAACCTGGGTTTGGATCCTGACACTGGAAGCTAGCTACTTAACCTCTCTGGGTCACACGTTACTGGTTTCCCAACTGGCATAACCTTGTGATAAAGGGGCTCATGAAAAAGTGGATAACAATAATGCCTGTGTTTATTAAGTGCCCACTGTGGGCCAGGAGAGTGCCCGTATTATCTCCCTCAATCCTCAAAACCATTCTAGGAGGGTTGGTGCCATTCTTATTGCCCCCATGTTATAGACAGGGAGACTGAAGTTTAGGTTAGGTAATTGGCCAAAGCTGGTGAGACAGGTGGGCTAGGCCCCCAGAGTCCATGCTCTCAGCTCTCATGATGTGCCAGTGGCTGCTGTGTGAGGGTGGTTGGAGCCCTTGGCTCCCCCTGTTGCCCACTGTGCAGAGGGGCTGCCAGACTCCCCGTGGCAACCAGGGATGCTGGCCTCATGATAGCACACTGCCCAGGCTCCCCCCTCATAGGGCCTTCGGACTCTGTGGAAGGCCTTCCCAGATCACCTCCCTGAAAGGCTCTTCCTCCTTCCTCAGGGCTTGGGTTGGGAATCTGACATGGTGTGGGGCCATCCTCCAGTGACACAAGGGAAGGGCAGTGGATCTCAGAAGGAGCCTGTGTTGTTGGGGTATGTTTGTTTGTTTGTTTGTTAAGATTTTATTTATTGGGGCACCTGGGTGGCTCAGTGGGTTAAGCCGCTGCCTTCGGCTCAGGTCATGATCCCAGGGTCCTGGGATCGAGCCCCGCATCGGGCTCTCTGCGCAGCGGGGAGCCTGCTTCCCTTCCTCTCTCTGCCTGCCTCTCTGCCTACTTGTGATCTCTGCCTGTCAAATAAATAAATAAAATCTTTTTTTTTTTAAAGATTTTATTTATTGATTGATGACACAGAGAGAGAGGGGCACAGAGGGAGAAGCAGACTCCCCACTGAGCAGGGAGCCTGATTGGATCTTGATTCCCGGACCCTAGGATCGTGACCTGAGCGAAGGCAGAGGCTTAACCAGTGGAGTCCTCCAGGCGCCCAAGGGTACATTTGTTTTTAATCTACTCTTTCCAACCACTTGCCTGGCCTAGGATGGGCCTGGTGTTCCAGTGGGTAATTGGATCAATCCCAAAAGGGGCTGTTTTAAGGGGATTGGGAGGAAAGGGGTCTTCATTCCCACCCTTCCCATCCCAACTCACGAATCACTTCCTGAGGGAATGGCTCAGGCCAGGCCCTTGCCCTGTCCGCTTATTGCAGTGCTAGGTGTGGCTTTGATCACCATCTCCCCTCCCATTCAGGACTGGGTGCTTCTTGAGGGCAGAGACAAGCTAGCTTTGCTCATCACTGCCCCTAGGGCCTGGCGCACAGGCCACGTGTTTAAGGTAAACAACAGCCTGCCTGGACCCACAGAGTCCCGGGGAGGCTGAGAGGCAGCAAGAGGCTGTCAGTCAATCAACCAATTAACCAACTGATGAACCCAGGCCTTAGAGGCGGTCAGTTTCACCTGCTGTGATTTACGTAGCAGAGAGGTTTCCCTCAGTTTTCTCGCCATCAAGGAAAAGAGCTTCAGCCCACGGCCATTTTGCCATTTGCTGAGAGAAAAGCCCCTGAGTTTCCAGATCTCAGCGACCTCAGAGTAAAAGGTGAAGGGAAAGTATAGCCTCATTTAGTTTTGTGGATAAAACGGAAGGGCACGGTCCCCCACGCCCTGATCCGTGATTGAGCTGCTGGCACCGGGCCTTGCTTCCCGCCCTCGGAAGTGTGGTGTTCTGTCGCCACCTGGTGGACATAACAGACCATGCAGGGGGAGGCCAAGCTCCCCCGTCTGGGGTAGGACTCGGAATGCGGCTGCCCTCCCGCAGGGGCCCAAAAAAGAGGCAGTGGGTTTAGGTGACTTCCTGGCAAGGGGCGGGGCTGAGAAGGAGCGCGGGTGGATGGGGAACTGCTGCTTGAAAGTCAACTGACTGGAGACCGACAATGGCCCCATTGTGTCCGGGGCCTTGACCTTGATTTCCTGCCACTCTCATCTCTGGCGTGGCATCACCCCGGTCTGATTGGCCGGGAGTCCACTCCGTGACAGTGGGCGGGCCCTGGGTCTGGAACCCGAGCGACTAGCTCCCCAGAGACCAAGACGCGCGAGCCTGGCACAGTACCCCTAGGGAAGCCCAGGGAAAGGCGACACCGCTCAGAAGTCTTTTCCTACTCCCTCTGCACCATCAGGTGTGGGGGGCCCAGAACTGCGGGCTCTCGTGGATAGGCGTGGCGCCGAGTGGGGGTGGAGGGTTAAGGACTGAGAGCTGCCCTCTGAGAGACCCTGCCCCAAATTAGTTATGGGATCTTCGGACTCGGCCTTTAAAACCTCCCACCTTTTTTTTTTTTTTTTTTTTTGCTGTTGTTTAAGTACACACCCACGGGTACCATTCCCATTGTAAAAAATATTACACAATACAAAAAGAAGCCTAAGCTTTCCCCCTTTGTCACACTCACCACCCTTCTCGGGTAACTACTATTGTTAGTTTCATGAGCGTCCCTCCTGACCTCCTTCAATGTATATGAATCTGTACATGTGAAAATATGTTTATGAGTTTGTGTATGGACTCTCTGGGCCTCCATTTTCTTTTCTTTTCTTTTCTTTTTTCTTTTCTAAGATTTTATTTATTTATTTGACAGAGAGATCATAGGTAGGCAGAGAGGCAGGCAGAAAGAGGAAGAAGCAGTCTCCCCGCCTAGCAGAGAGCCCCTATGCGGGGCTCATCCCAGGACCCTGAGACCATGACCTGAGCAGAAGGCAGAGGCTTTAACCCACTGAGCCACCCAGGCGCCCCATGGGCCTCCATTTTGTAATGGGAATGAAAATAATAGGAAAGCTACCTGAGGTCACTCATAGGGAGTGTTCAGCTCAGCACCTGGCACGGTGTTGGTGACTATCATCACCATTACCATCTTTCTTGTCATTATCATCGGGCCTCAGACCCAGTGCTGAGGTCTGGATAGAAGCCCTTTCTTACTCTGCAGCCTGCTCTTCCCCCTCCTCTTCCCTCCTGACAAACTGTGATAAAAATCTGTGTTCCCTAATGCCTGTGTTTTTTCAAAGCTAGAAGAAGCAGCTGGTATTTTCTGCATGTTCTTCCCTGCCCTTCCCTTCCTTCACCCCCACTCCTCCCCTCGCCTTCCATATTTGACCTAGACGCAACCACTCACCCCACAGCAGGGAGAACATGCCATTCTGGGCCAGTGGAAGAGACTTCCACCGCCCAAACAGTGCTGCAGAATCCACAGTGACTCTACATGAAAGCTGTCCCCTGGGCAGCTGGGGGGCTCAAGAGGACGGGCTCTCTGTGAAAGGCCACTTACCTAAGTGCAGGGTCAGCCGGCTGAGCACCCCAGGACATGGCCAAGGGCAAGTCTCTTCACCTCCCGGAACCTCTGCTCACTCACCTGTACAATGGGCTCCTAGAGTAGCCATCACATTCAATTGCTGTAAGAGTAACATGGCACCATAAAGGGCCCCGGCACTGAGAAAGCTCAATGGTAGTTGTTATTATGTTGGAAAATAACGTGTCATGTTTATTTAGCATGTTAGTCTTGCCAAGGGAATTGATAAGTTCTTCCTTCTTTTTAAAAGGAGCTAGTTCGGAGAAGGAAGTTCGGTTTTGACTGACAAGTCTCAAGAGAAAGGGAAATTCCTTTACCTCCCCTTCTGTTGGAGCAGCCACTTGTCACTTCCTGGAGCTGTTGCTGGTCCCTGAGATGGCCCACAGAGGTCCCTCCAGCCAGAGAGCACCAGCACGCAGGACACTGACGGACCTCCCTGCTCCTGGTGATGCTACAGTGAAATGTCAAGCCCATGTGAGTAAGATGAAGCCACATCACCCATCAGGCAGTGACCCTGTGCCGAGCCTGTGCCACACCACACTGCCCAGCTCCTGGTCCCTGTGGTGCAAGGGCTTTATCCAGGGAAAAAACTCACTGCACATATGAGCTCATATTTATTCATTGCTTAGTTGATGCCAACTGTGTCATAAGCACAACGAACAAGTCCAGGACAGAGAAGATCTTGCCCTCGTGTAGCTTGCTTTTTAATGGTTCCACACATGATAACTTCCTCTGCTTCTGTTTTGTTTTTTCCAGGTGTAATTTACATGCATTAAAATCACTTTTATTTTTTAGCACAAAGTCTATGAGTTTTGACAAACAGAGTCACGTAACCATCATCATCGCAACCAAAATACAGAATATGTTCATCACCTCCTGAATTTTCTCTTGCTCTTGATCTTTAGTGACCAGCCACCCCCCTGCTCCCATCCCCAGCAACTGGCAGTCACTGTTCCCATCGCTGTCCTTATAGTTTTAACTTCTACAAAATGGAATCTTTCAGTAGGTAGCCTTTTGAATCTGGCTTCTCTACTTACCATGATGGACTTCTTTGTTGTTCTTTCGCGCTTTTAAAAAAAGATTTTATTTATTTATTTGTCAGAGAGAAAGAGAGAGAGCACAAGCAGGGGGAGCAGCAGGCAGAGGGAGAAGCAGGCTCCCCACTGAGCAAGGAGCTCCATTTGGGACTCGATCCCAGGACCCTGGGATCATGACCTGAGCCAACGGCAGGCACTTAACGACTCAGCCACTCAGGTGCCCCCTTACTATGATGTTTTGAGGTTCACCCAGATTGTTGTACCTGTCCACAGTTCATGCCTTTTTTTTTCTTTCAACTTCTTATTACTAAAATGTTCAAATATAAAGTTTAAAGAATAATACAGTGGACACCTATAAACCTATTACCTACATTCAATATTTGTTTCCATTTTGCTGTCTTTTAAAATGATGTATATACACAGGTATATATTTGCTGCACCACTGGAAGCAGGTGGTAGACCTTGACACTGCCCCTCTAATGCTTCACATGGATTACCCAAGAGTGAGGACAACTGAGAAGCATGTCCCACTGAGAAAGGCAACCACAATTCTCAAGTGCCATCTACTACCCATCCATTTGCAAATGTCCCCTATTTCCAAAAAAAAAAAAAAGTCTTTTTTAACTTTTTACCCACCTGTCAGAGTTTTGTTTCTAAGTTTTTACAAGTTTGAAATAATTACAGATTCACAGGAAGATGCAAACAAATCAGAGTCCTGTGCACCATGGAACCAGCTTCCTGCAATGGTGACATCTTACAGAGAGCTGTAGGAAAATATCCGAACCAGGACACTGACCTTGGCACATTACTGTTAATTATGTGGCAGGCCTTATTCTCCATTCACCATTTTATAACCTGCAGTCATTTGTGTGCATGGATGTGTGTATAGTTCTGTGCACTGAAATCCTGTGTACGGATCTGTGTGTCCACAGCCACAGCCAAGGAAGGTCACTGTGCCCTCATCATGGAAGGACTCTCATTGCCACCTCTTTGTATGGACACCCACTCTCTCTTCATGCCTCTCTGTCCCCTGGTGACCACTAAGCTGTTCTCCAACTCTACAGTCTTTTCATTTTGAGAATACAGCCTTTGGAGACGGAATTTTTGTTATGAAGCATAATTCCTTTGAGGTCCATCTAGGTTGTCACGTGTATTCTCAGTAGTCTATGTCCTTTAGTGGCTGAGGAGTGTCCTTACCCAGATGGACCACAGGCTAGCGTCACCAGCTGAAGAACATGTGAACTATTTTTGCTGTTTGGTGATGGCACATAAAGTTGCAAACATTGATGTACAGGTTTGGATGTGAACCTAAGGTTCACTTCACTTAGGTAAATAACTAAGGGTGGGATTGCTGGGCTGCACAGTTAAGTTTAAGTCTATCTTTTTGTGACTCCGCCCAACCCTTCTGCACACTGGTGGCCCAGCAGGTGGTGGGAGAGCTGCCTTCCCTCTGCAAAGTGCCAGTCCTGGCTATCATCCCTTTAAAAAAAAATTCTAGCCATTCTAACATATGTGTAATGGTATCTCACATAACTTTTAAGTCATAAATAAGACAAATGTATAACTCTTCTTAAAGCCCTGCAGTGGCTTCCCATCACAGTCAGAATAAAATTCAAACTAATTTCTGAGGCTTTCCCTGACCTCTTAGGGGCTCTGCCTCTCACTCTGCTCCAGCCCCAGTGACCTCCTGTTTTCTCTAATGCCCTAAGCTAGTCCTTCCTAAATGCTTTTCACTTGTGGCTCCTTTTGCCCGGATTGTTCTTGCCTCAGGTATCCACATGGCTCTGTCTCTCTGTCTCTTTTCTCTCTCTCTATCTCTCTCTCTCTCTCCAGCAGTTTTTCAAGAAACTTGCTGATGGTGCAAATAACTCCCATCCCAGCACTCACATTCACAATTCTCTTACCCTGTTTTGTTTGTCTTCCCGGCACTGACCTCTTCTTGGTATAATGCAGATCAGTCACTGGCTTGGTTGCTGTCTGTCTCCGTCCTAAGGGGAGGGACTGGTTTTTGGATGACTGTCTCCACTGCTCAACACAATGCTTGGCACAGAGGAGACACTAGATAAATACTTGTTATGACTGTGTATCAGAAATGTGGGACGCTCTCCTCTCATCCTCCTGACCCACCTTTTACTCATGGGGCATCCTGGCATCTGGCTTGGAGCAGGTGAAACCCCTTGTCTTAGCTGCTCCCTGAGGCTCTTGCCTTCTGCCCAGGGCTTGTCTCTGAGCTCGAGCACCGTGGTCTGCAGGTCTGGGGAGGTTAATTCTGCTGGGGTAACCGCTGACCAACAGAGCTGGAGTTGGTAGATATTTTCTCCCTTCTCTGATACAGGGTGGAGGTGCGGAGGCCCCAGTTCCCTGCAGCAGTGACCAGCTCCATAGCACACCATGTCCTGGCTTGCTTTCCTTCCCGTGGGCTCTCCCCACTTCCATGCTCCTGGCCCCTAGAATCAGCTCTATAAGTGACTTCCAAGTAAGCTCTTTCTCTGCCTTCTCCCCTTGAAAGGAGGTAGCAGGGGTGGAAAAGAGCTCAGATTAAATTAGAACAAATAGAGTGCCTGGATGGCTCAGTGCGTTAAGCCTCTGCCTTTGACTTAGGTCGTGATCCCAGGGTCCTGGGATCGAGCCCCACATCAGGCTCTCTGCTCAGCAGGGGGTCTGCTTCCCCGCCCCACCCCCGCCTGCCTCTCTGCCTACTTATGATCTCTCTGTCAAATAAATAAATAAAATCTTTAAAAAAAATAAATAAATTAGAATAAATATATGGAGCCCATAGTCTAGTGGGAGAGACAAATAATAATTTAAAAAAGGGAACAGAATTTAAATAACTATGGTTGTAGGGATAGATTTTTTTTCAACAAAGGATGCTGGAGTAACCAAATATCCAAAAGGAAAACAAGGGATCTCAATCCCTACTTCACAACATACTTGAAATAGATCAAAGAATTAAGTATTTAATAAAGAAAAACTATAAAACTTCTAGAAGAAAGCATAAAAGAAAATCTACATGACCTTGGGATAGGCAGAGTTTTCTTAGATCACAGGTAGAAATAATCATAAAAAGGGGTGGAGACAGCATTAAGAATATGAAAATGTAAGTCACAGAATAGAAGAAAGTTCTGCAATACATATTTTTAACAATAATTTGCATCTACAACATACAGAGAAATATATAACTCAATAAGAAGGCAAACATCCAAATTAAAATATGGCAAAAGATTTTAACAAATAGTGTTTTTTTTTAAGATTTTATTTATATGAGAGAATGAGAGAGAAAGAGCATGAGCTGGGGGAGGGTCAGAGGGAGAAGCAGACTCCCTGCCCGACTTGATCCTAGAACTCAATCCTGGGACTCCAGGATCATGACCTGAGCCTAAGGCAGTCACTTAATCAACTGAGCCACCCTGGCGCCGTAGCAGATAGTTTAAAAGAAGATATACAAATATTCATAAGCACAGGAAAAGTTGTTTAATAGTACTAGCCATTAGGGAAATGTAAATTAAAACCACAAGATGACACCATACACCCATTAGAAGGGCTACAATTGAAAAGACTGGTAACAAGTGTTGACAAGGACGTGGACCAGCTAGAATTCTCATGCATTGCTGCTAGGAGTGTGAAATGGAAAAGCACTTTGGAAAAAAGGTTGGCAGTCTCCTATAAAATTACACATACACTTACCATCTGCCTAGCGATCTCCATTATAGTTATTTACCTGAAAGAAATAAAAATGGATGTCCACACACAAGACTTGTACATGAATTGTCAAAGCAGCTTTATTTATAATAGCCCCAAACTGGAAATAGCCCAGGTATCCATCAACAGGCAAATAGATACATTGTGGAAAATTCCTACAATTGCTTGGTACTCAGTAATAAAGAAACAAATATGGGTAAGCTAAGCACCACAACACCAAGAAACCTCCAAAACGTTAGGCTGAGTGAAAGAAGCCAGATACAACACATACCATATGATTACATTTAAATAAAGTTCTAGAACAAGCAAAAGAAAGCCATGGGAACAGAAAGTAGGGCAGTGGTTGGCTGGGGCTGGCTGTGGACTGATAGTGGGGGGTGGATACTGACTGGAAAGAAGGATCAGGAAAATTGAATATGTTTTGGAAATACTCTGTATCTTGAATTGAATGGTGGGTATATGGGTATTTGTCAAAACTCATCTAACTGTACACCTTTTATTTATGCAAATTATACCTCTACAAGGCTGATTTTTTGTTTTATTTTTTTTAAAGCTTTTATTTACTTATTTGAGAGAGAGAGCACATGAGTGGCATAGAGGGCCAGAGGGAGAGAGAGAGAAGCAGACTCCCCACTGAGCAGGGAGCCTGATGTAGGACTCGATTCCAGGACCCTGGGATCATGACCTGAGCCGAAGGCAGACTCTTAACCAACTGAGCCACCCAGGTGCCCCAATAAGGCTGATTTTGAATGAGAAATAGCTATAGCTTGTGATAAGTGCCCCCAAAGGAAGAAAACATGGTATTATAAGAGAGAAAAATGGAGAAGGAAGACTACTTCTGATGGTTTGGTCAAGGAAGGACTCTTGAGGAGGTGATACTAGAGCAGAGATCAGAATGTCAATATGGAGCCAGCCATGGAAAGATCCAGGGGAGGGCATTCGAGGAAAGGGTCACTTCAGGAACAAAGAGCCAGAAGCAGGAAGGAGTTTGGTGCCCTCGGCAACAGTCCAAAGGCCAGTGTGACTGGGTGAAGTGGGTGGGGCAGAGAGTGGTAGGAGACAGAGTGGAGAGGTAGGAGACAGAGTGGAGAGGAGACAGAGTAGGAGCCAGATCTTGAAGGACCTTATCAGCCCTGATAAAGGCTTGGAATTTAAAATGAATAAAATGCACAGCCCTGTATGGATCTAGTAGGGCAGAAACACAGAAGCAAATAAAGGCAAAATAGGATCATGGGTATAGATATATTTGGGGAGTGTATGGAGATAAAGGAGGGATTACTCAGCACTACTGGGAAGGCTTCCTGGAGGAGGTGACATTTCAGTTGAGATTGAAGGAAGAGTAGCAGAGGAGAGGGGCTATTCCGGTGGAGGGTGCTGTGTCTACAGAAGCCCAAAGACATGCAGCCCCATGGAACGTTCAAAGACTTGAGCATAATGTCAGTCTAGTTGGAGTTTTCCCTGTAGGAGTGGAAATGGCAGGAGATCTGAGGCTGTAGGGACAGGCTTTTGAATCCTGCAGAGGAGGGAAAAACCCTAAAGAATTTTATGTAAGGGAATATTAGGGCCAAATTTGCATTTCATGTTTTTTTAAGATTTTATTTTTAAAAAAATTTTTTATTATTTATTTGTCAAGGGGAGAGAAAGAGTACAAGCAGGGGGAGCAGCAGGCAGAGAGAGTAGCAGGCTCATGGCTGAGCAAGCGGCCCGATGTGGAACTCGATCCCAGCACCCTGGGATCATGACCTGAGATGATGGCAGAGGTTTAACTGACTGAGCCCCGCAGGCGTCCCTAAATTAACATTTCAGATCAAGCCTTCCAGAATGGTCAGGTGATGAGTAAGACCACTGGTTCTGGAGTGAGATCACAGGGAAGGCCTAAGCAGGAGCAGGCAGGGCAGGGAGAAGGTCCAAATCTGTTAAGAGGTGATTGGGCCTGTCCTGAAGCTGGGGGACCACCTGGCTTCTGGCTTGGAGGCCTGGCTCCCCTGGGGAATGATGAGTTAAATAGGACAGATGACAAGAAACAGGTTAAGGAAGAGATTCATGCTTGGAGGCCCCAGGGGGCCATGGATGCTAACTTTAATGTGCACCTGCTCCCTCACTGGGCTTGTTACTTGAAGATCCCTAGGCCCTGGTCCCAGGGAGTCAGAAGCAACAGGTTTATGCCAGAGCCCGAGAAACTGCGTATGGACAGAGTGCGGACAGCTGGTGGATGCCATACCTACAGGGCTGTCATCTGGGCTGTCCAGAGGCCTGGAGCAGGAGGTGGGGCAGGTGCGTTCTCGTCTGGAATGTGGCCAAAGCAGTCCAGCAATTCAGGCAAAGGTGGCATCCAAAATAAGGCTCGGGGTGGAGTGGGAGCAAAGGTAGCTTGTGTCTCCACTGTGGCAGCTAAAGAATAGCAAGAGGGTGACCCTGGTCGTCACATGAAACTCCCGATGACGTGTCCAGGGAGCCGCAGAAACTAGGATTGGGGCCAAGGCTGAAGCACAGGTCTGCATATGCACCCTCTCCTAGGGTGTAGATGGGGGGGGGTGCATGGTGGGGATTCAGGAAGGCCGTGGGGAGCTCTATGTAAGTTCTGCGAAGAGAAAGCAGCTTCTCCTCTGTGCACCACCCGAACTTCACTACAGATCTGTGGGCTCGGTCCCATTATTTCCATTTTACAGATGAGGGAAATGAGGCCTCTAGAGGTTTAGTAAATTGTTCTGGGTCCCAAAGCCAGGATGCAGGGGAACCTGGGCTGGAACACTGGCCTCTGGACCTTTTGAATCCTAGCATTGCCCTGTCCCCACAAGGGGGAGAGGTCACTTTCTCTCTTCATCTTAAATGATCTTCCAAGCAAGGGAGTGGGGCACAGTATAAGTTTTCTCCGTCTTGTCCTGTTCAGAAAGTATGTATGTCCTGGGGCTCCTGGGTGGCTCATGCTTATGGTCATTGTCCTGGGGTCATGGGATGGAGCCCAAGCCTGGGGTTGGGCTTCTGGCTTGGCGGGGAATCTGCTTCTCCCGCTACCCCTCCCCCCTACTCATGGTCTTGCTCACTCTCTGGCTTGCTCGCTGTCTCTCATAATAAAATCTTTGAAAGAAAGAAAAGAAAAGAAAGAATCTAGGTCCTTACTTCCTGTGCTTTCCAAAGAAAAGGCTCCCAGGGCCTCATAGCACAAACGGAGTTGTCAGGTCCCAGCCGGGAGCCCTTGCCTGATCTGCGGATCTCACAGCCCTGCCACCTGCCTCCAGCAGCAGAAGGAGGTGGTTGAGGCGGCAAATCTGTCTCCAGTGCCACAGCGTAGTCCTGTTTGGCTGTGATGCCATCGTACTCAACGGCATATGGCTACAAAGCTACTATGTTGAGAGCGGACAGGAATGGGATTTTCCGTGTGCCAGATTTCACTCCCTCTCTGAAACAATTCTTGTAGTAAACGGAGGTTTTCTGATCTTAAGATCTGGAGGATGGGAGTTCCTTTACACTTTGTAAGTAAAACTATTGTCTTGCAGAGTTTCATTCTATTGATGGTGCAAATGTTTTTTAAAGGTGGAAGCTCTTCTGTGTTCCCTCCCTTCCCCCAAAAGCTAGGACAGGAGGAGACCCGGCCACCAACTCTGTTCTGGCCCCAGGCCACCCCAGGGAGGAGACCTCTGTATGCCCCATGGCTGTCACCCCTTGGCAAATGGGATGGGGAAGAGGAAAGACTTGCTGAGTGTGGGAGGCTGAGGGGTGGAGGGGGTGAAGGAGGGCCAGGAAGCGAGTAGAATGTGACTTTTAGGAGGAGAATTATTTTGAACCACGTCTTGTGTGCTGACAGCATAATGATCATTATTAGGACCTCAGATGTAACACGAAGCCCGCCCTGAAGTTAAATTTTCCCTTTCAGATAAGCGTGGCCTGTCAACCCGCCATAGGATGGTTCTATGCCAACCTCCTCCACGCTGGGGCCTGGGGGGTGGTGGAATGTTCCAGCTGCTTCCTCAGACTTCCCTTTCATTAAGGACTTCGCTTTTATTAGTAAACAAGCCACCTGTTTTCTACCTTAGCCATATCAAATCAACCTGAGACAGACTGTGCAAGGACCACAGCTGTTGTTGCAGCTTGCTCCCTACACTGAGTTTTGGAGCTGCTATCTGGAGTCTTACCTCCCCAGGGACGCTCCTGGCCACACTGTGACCTCTAATAGAGGGGCAGACGCAGGGCCTGAATTATGCCCAGACAGATTATTTTTGGCTTCCACGGTGTTTTAAAAATCAGTTTTCACATCAAAATCCTGTTTGCAGGCTCCTCTTGGAAACTCAGAAAACCTAGCTGCCGTGGGCCACATTTCCCTGTGACACATGGCGGGAGCTGAATAATAGTGGCTCCCTTTGCACAGAGCTTGGTCTCTGGTTTGCCAAAGTCCCCACCACTCTCTGTCACCCTCCATCCACACCCTAAGAGAGAATAGTAGTTTAGAGGCAGATAAGGAGATACAAATTTCAGTCCTGATTCTACCACTTATTTTCTGTGGCCCCTTGAACAGGTGTCTGCATCTCTCAGAAGACTCCTTTTAATCCTTATGAAGAGGAGAATGGCATTCTCTGAGACTTTGCCAGGTTGGTTTATTGCTGTATATTTCCTGTCAATAATAGAGGCAGCTGGAAGATGTATACAATGTACACACTATTGCAAATGTAAGCTTCATATAAACAAGGAATTTCTTTCTTTTTTTTTTAAAGGATTTTATTTAATTGACAGCGAGAGACACCACCAGAGAGGGAACACAAACAGGGGGAGTGGGAGAGGGAGAACCAGGCTTCCTGCCAAGCAGGGAGCCTGATGCGGGGCTCGATCCCAGGACCCTGCAATCATGACCTGAGCCGAAGGCAGACGCTTAGTGACTGAGCCACCCAGGCACCCATAAGCAAGGATTTTCTAAATCCATTTTTTTTTTATTTCTACACCCTCGAAGTTTAGGATAGTCCCTGGCACATGGTAGGCACATAGCAAGTGTATTGAATGAATACGTGGATTTAATTTTGTCCTTAGTTCTTATGCCTCGTATGTTGTGCGCTTCATTATTATTATTGGCCCATTTTAAAAAATATAAATGCAAATGGACATAACGGTTGAGTATTTCAGGGCTATTCTCCAACATTATTGATGGGAATTTTATGGCCATACTCCCCTGCGTCATTGCCTAAGAGAAAAATGTGGTTTTCTCCAGGACTGGGGTCCTAAGATCATTATCTGAATACCAGGCCACTTGAGGAATCAATGCTTCAAAAAGTCACAATTAAAAGCGTACGCATTTATGTGATGCTTCTTGAGGGCTCAAGGTGCTGTACAAACATTTAAAGCATTAAGTGCTCCCTGAAGCACTTTCCTCAGAAAGAACACTTCCAGAAAGGAGAGTGCATTTAGGTAAAACAAATGGCTGGTTTTATGCCATGATCTCAAGAAGGCTCAACCTCTGAGTGCTGAAATTTGTTCCCTGTTGGATGCAACTTTCCTGGAAATACAGGTGAAGATAGGCTGACTCCCAAACTGATTCAATATTAGCCTGTTGGATTGTTGTTTCACTTGTGCCAAAGGCTTATGGTTTGGGTTTTGGTGGCATGTAGGGGTCAGCTGTGTTTTTTGTTTATTTAGCATCCACTTCCTAGTTATGGTAACTAAACTTCAGGTTTCCTAGGGAAACCTGAAATGTTCCTTGCACACTTCCAACTGTAGGATTTGGTGGTGCCTAACCTCACCCCCAGCTCTCCTCTGGAGCTGGTTCACGGTGTCACATCTCTTGGCTCCAGCCCCCCATTCTGAAAAAAGCCAAGTTACCCAAAGCCAGTGTAAACACTAAACCTGGAACTTTTCTTAAGACTGTTGGGAAAGAGAATGCCTTTTGTTTGCTGGGACTTTTTACTGTGAGATGTAATTGTGAAACTGTCAGAGGCGCTACTTGGGAATGCAGAGAAAAGAGAGCTGAGCCAGAAAAAGCAGGGGAGGAGATTCCTGGTGACAGCGTCTGAGTGACTGGATCCAGCTATGCCTGAAACTTACCTTTGAATTTTTGGTTTCATGAGCCAATACATAAAATCTCTTTCCTTCTTTCTTATACCAATTTTAATAACATTTTAGTCAATTACGTTGAAGATGTTCCTGCCTAGTAAAGTAGAATCTGAAAATGTAGATCAGGAAAAGAGGCACAAAACTGTGAGACTCATTGCTCAGATGAAAACCAAAATCTTGAACCATGGCCAGAGGCAAACTGATGAGTTTGCCTCTTCTTCCTTGACCTGGACCTCAAATTCCATTAGACTCTGGTAAAGCAGTGAACTAAGAAAGAGAAGAAGAAGCATAAGTGTTTGTTTCATTTCTTTAATACCCTGATACAAAATAAGAATCTGGTCATTCTCTTCTGAAGTCAGTGCTGGTGTTGGCCACATTCATTGGCTTTGTTTTCACATATGTTCATTTGTCTGCTTCTGTAAGTAGAAGACACTGAAATAAGCCAGAGGCCAGGTCTTAGTGGACTTCTCCAGTGCTTTAAAACTCTCTGGACTTGAGGCTCCTGGGTGGCTCAGTCAGTTAAACATCTGCCTTCGGCTCAGGTCATGATCCCAGGGTCCTGGGATGGAGCCATGCATTGGGCTCCCTGCTCAGTGGGGAGCCTGTTTCTCCCTCTCCCTCTGTCTGCTGCTCCCCTTGCTTGCGCTCTCTCTGTGTCAAAGAAATAAAATCTTTAAAAAATAAAATAAAATAAAACTTTTTGGACTTTACCTAGAAGAGTTCCACTAGTGTTTGCCAATGAGCCAGGGAGCTCCATAAAGATGTTCAACTTGCACAGCATCTAGAGGAGGCTGTTTAATACAGTTACTGGGTGCTTCTGTGTGCCAGGCTCTAATTCCACACAGTTCTGAGGAAATGGTAGCAGGCTTTCTCTTTTTGAGGAAGGCTTATTTCCAGTCCTTTGTCAGCCCTTCTTGACCCTTTGGGGCTGCAACTTTGCCATGACCCCCCTTTCCCTTCTGACCAGCCTGAACTCTGCTGCCCAATGATTCTTAACAAAAGACTGCCTCCCATGCAGAGAAAGGGGAACTCTCCTACACTGTTGGTGGGAATGCAAGCTGGTGCAGCCACTCTGGAAAACAGCATGGAGATTCCTCAAAAAGTTGAAAATTGAGCTACCCTATGACCCAGCAATTGCACTACGGGGTATTAACCCCAAAGTTACAAACGTAGTGATCTGAAGGAGCACATGCACCCGAATGTTTACAGCAGCAATGTCCACAATAGCCAAACTATGGAAAGAACCTAGATCACTTACTGGCCATGGGACTTGAGCAAGTTACTTGACCTCTCTGTGCTTTAATTTCCTCATCTAAAAAATAACAGATCAAAATCAACAGATGAATAGATACAGAAGACGTGGTACACACACACACACACACACACACACACACACACACACACAGTAATACTATGCAGCCATCAAAAAGCACGAACTCTTGCTATTTGCAATGACGTGGATGGAACTAGAGGGTATTATGCTAAGCGAAATAGGTCAATCAGAGAAAGACAATTATCACATGATCTCTCTGATATGAGGAATTTTAGAGGCAGGGCGGGGGGTCATGGGTGGCAGGGTGGGAAAAAATGAAACAAGAGGAGACCAGGGAGGGAGACAAACCATAAGAGACTCTTAATCTCAGGAAACAACCTGAGGGTTGTTGGGGGTTGGTGAGGTAGGGATAGGGTGGCTGGGTGATGGACATTGGGGAGGGTATGTGCTATGGTGAGTGCTGTAAAGTGTGTAAGCCTGATGATTCACAGACTTGTATCCTGGGGCAAATAATACATTATATGTTAAAAAAAAAAAAAAAAAGACTGCCTCCCTTTCCCATTTCCCATTCCCAGGTGTTTCACTGCTTCACTGTAGGTTTCATATTGAATCTATATTCTTCTTAGCCTTTTTTTTTTTTAAGATTTTGTTTATTTATGACAGAGATAGTGAGAGAGGGAACACAAGCATGGGGGAGCTAGAGAGGGAGAAGCAGTCTCCCCCCTGAGCAGGGAGCCCGATTTCGGGGTCAATCCCAGGACGCTGGGATCATGACCCAAGCTGACAGCAGATGCCTAACGACTAAGACACCCAGGTGCCTCTCTTCTTAGCATTTAATAAAACAAATGCTGAGACTAAAAGCTCACCGTGTAGAGCATTTATGGGGTGCTAGCACTATGCTTTCACATGCATTATCTCAGTTAATCCTCAAAATGATGCTCTAAAGTAGATATTAATGCTATCCCTATTTTTTTTTTAGATGAGGAAATTAAAGCACAGAGAGGTCAAGTAACTTGCTCAAGTCCCATGGCCAGTAAGTGATGGAGTCTAAATGCAGCCCTGTCATTCCAGTTCTAGACCCCATGCTCCTACCAGAAGATTCTGCTATCTCCAGAGCTCTTCTACAACCTGTGCTGTCTCTTAGTTTGTTCCTCACAGCTCTACAATTCCCACAGTCCACTCAGGCAGGTCTTACAGTTATGCCTACTATTCTCTGATTTTATTGTCCTTGCTTATTTGGCTTTTTCCTTTTTTTTTTTTGTTTTGTTTTTTAAAGATTTTATTTATTTATTTTGACAGAGAAAGAGAGATCACAAGTAGGCAGAGAGGCAGGCAGAGAGGGAGGGAGAAGCAGGCTCCTGTTGAGCAGAGAGCCCGATGTGGGGCTTGATCCCAGGACCCTGAGATCATGACCTGAGCTGAAGGCAGCGGCTTAACCCACTGAGCCACCCAGGCGCCCCATCTTTGCTTATTTGTTTAGTCATTCATTCATTTACTCACTCAGCACATATATACTGAGAATGCTCTCTTTTCTCCTACTTCTCCAAATCCTGCCATTCCAGGCTCCACTCCACACCCTTCCTTTCATGCATCCCACCTTAGCCTGTGCAGCTGGTGTGGCCTCCCTTTCATGAATGCCGGGAATACAAAAGAGCATGACAACATAGTTGAGCCTTCATTTTCACAGGGGTCTTACCAGGTCTCATGCTCCCTGACTTTCCCACCAGGAGGCAGTTGCCTGGAGGAGTTGTTAAAGGAGCACCTCTCCTTTCGTGGCCATCACAGCTTTGAGTGCACATTAGCCATCCAAGAAACATTCTTTCATTGGATGAAAGAACAAATGGGATCCAGTGAAAATACGATGGTTTTTATTTTTATTTTTTAAAATATTTTATTTATTTATTTTAAAGAGAGAGAGGGAGAGAACACAGGAGAGGGAGAAGCAGACTCCCTGCTGATCAGGGAGCCCAACATGGGGCTCCATCCCAGGAGTCTGAGGTCATGACCAGAGCTGAAGCCAGCCACCTAACCAACTGAGCCACCCAGGCGCCCCTAAGAATATAATGGTTTTTAAAATGGCCTTGTGGGCAGATAAACACAACAAATCTAAAACTTTCTGCCATGTGACAATCCTCCAACATTCAAATCAGGTCAAGTTCTTGAATCTTCTTTTCTACAGGCAAATGTCTACACAGACAGGGACGTAGACAGAGTTTATGTACATAATATACATGTAAATTATATGGTAAAGTATCTTGCTAATAGTGTACAAAAACATGTTACAATTAATTCTGTCGGATGTGATAATGGCTTTATAACTATGTTAAAATAAATCCTTTTTACAGGGAAAAAAAATAAAATAAAATGGCCTTGTGAAGGGGCTCCCGGCTGGCTCAGTGGACAGAGCGTGTGACGCTTAATCTTAGGTTTGTGAGTTTATGCCCCATGTTGGGCGTAGAGCCTACTTAAAAAAAAATCTGAGATAAAATGGCCTTGTGAAAAATCATGAATCTGGATTCTTCCTTTCATTGAGACTTCCTGTAAAGTTTAAGAAGTAGGTGTTTAAAAAAAAAAAAAGTAAAAGAGGTAGGTGTTATTATCCCCATTTTGTAGGTAAGATTGAGGCTCAGAGAAAGTGGGTTAGTTGGCCACGTTCGTGAAATGGATGAATCCCAGGCTCCCCGACCCCTGTGCTGTGCCGCCCCTGCAGTCCTAGCTGGTTCTCCCAAAGTCACGTATGTGGAAAATCCACTGCAGCTTCTGTGGCTAATGAACTTTTACAGAAAATATGTTTTGTCAGGGTCTTCTACACAGACATTTTTCTTTATTTCCAGGAATGGAAGGCAACTCGCCGCTGTTGTGTGAAGAAACCTGGTGAAACTCCAGCAACTTCTACCACTGGCTGGCTGTTGAGTTCTGGCCCTTGAGGTCAAATTCTAGAAAAGAACCACATGGTATGTATAACCTGGCCATGTCTCTTGGGTTCTTGGCTGCTGCCAGCAACATTCTCTGGGTTTGTACTCACATGAGAACCCTCCTTTACTATGGATGTGGAGGTGGATGTGAAGGTGGGAAATGTTCTGTTTTTCTTTTTTTTTAAGATTTTATTTACTTATTTGACAGAGAGAGATATCACAAGTAGGCGGAGAGGCAGGCAGAGAGAGAGAGAGGAGGAAGCAGGCTCCCCGCTGAGCAGAGAGCCCGATGTGGGGCTCAATCCCAGGACCCTGGGATCATGACCTGGGCCGAAGGCAGAGGCTTTAACCCACTGAGCCACACAGGCACCCCTGTTTTTCTTTTGATAGTTAAGCCCTCTCAATCCCTACCCATTCAGTAAAAGGGGAGTGGCCAGGGACCTTACTGAAAATGTGTCTCATCATCTCTTCTTCCCCAGCACAGCCTCCATTTGTCCCAACTAGCCTGAGAAGCTTTCCTCCCTTTAAAGATGCTTATACCTGCCTTATACCCCCTTCCTCACCTTGCCCTGCCCTCATTAGAACCTCAGCGGCATATGCTTGATCCCAAAGGCCTGGAAAATTTTCTAGCCAAAAAGTCTTGCTGTCAGAGTATACTTAGGAACAGATGAGCTCTGCATCAGTTCCTCTGTACTAGTTTCTGTAAAGGGTGGATCTTGCCCCTGATGGTCCAAATGTGGTTTTGGGGTGTTGTTGAGTGACCTTCATTCCTCAGAGGCTAATAGGCCTCTGTCCCCAAACCCCTGGTACTTCTCCTTTCTCTCCAATCCCTTCTCTGTCTCGGTTCTCAGCATGTTTCCCCTCCACCATTTCCCTCAAACCTCATTCCAGCTCAATTCCGCACACACCCCACCTCCACATGGAGTTCCCCTCTGCAGATCTGCCATACAACCCAGTTCTCCCTGCCCTGCCCTGCTCACAGCATCTTCCTGCCCACTCATCTCTGCCCCTTAGGACCCTGGGGTCGTGTTTTCAGTCTCTTCTGTTAGTAGAGCTAATACTTTGTCTGAAGCCATGATTCTTCTCTACCTTTCACAATGGTCTTTTTTTCCCCCTTTAAATATTTTATTTATTTATTTGAGAGAGAGCACGCGAGGGAGAGCAGAAGCAAAGGGAGCAGCAGAGGGAGAGGGAGAAGCAGACTCCCTGCTGAGCAGGGAGCCCGACTTGGGTTCCCACCATTCCAGGACACTGGGATCATGACCCAAACAGAAGGCATTTGATCAACTGACTGATCCACCCAGGCGCCCCTCACAACTGTCTTTTTTCCCATTTATATGCATTTCTTTTAAAAATGAATGTATAAAAGAAAAAGTATCACTTTAAACTATTAAGTAAATAGTAAACAGTACAGGTGGTACTTTGATATGAGACACACTATTCATCAACTGATCTTCTAAGACAATGTCTCAGTCAGCTGGGCATTGCCAGTTAGCTGGGCAACGCCAAAAGGTGCTCACTAGAAACTGATTGTAAAATAACTTTATCTTTTAGGTCTAATTGGCTTTAATAAATGATTCCTAAATCAGGCAGCATCCCATCTACCTATTAGAGGGGATTTGTACAAAATGGAAGAGGTTTTTTTCGTAGAAGTGAGGTTGGAGCAAGGAAGTTATTAGCAAAAGAAGAGAAAGGATATTCTGTTTGGGGTAGAGTAGCGGGATTCCTGTAATACAGATTACCCCACCTTCCTTTGAGGGATGGAGAGCTCCACGTGACAGATTGCCTCATTGGTGCTTATCAGGAAATTCCTGACCACATTTCTGGCAAAGGTTGAAACTGCAATTATGTTGTGTTATTAAGCCTGGGTTTGGGGCGCCTGGGTGGCTCAGTCGTTAAGCGTCTGCCTTCAGCTCAGGGCATGATCCCAACCAGCATCTCGGGATCAAGCCCTATATCAGGCTCCCTGCTCAGCTCGGAGCCTGCTTCTCCATCTTCACCTCCCCTGTGCTGTGTTCCCTCTCTCGCTCTATCATAAATAACTTTTTAAAAATCTTTTTTTTTAAGATTTTACTTATTTGATATAGAGAGAGCACAAGTTGGGGGGGGCAGACTTCCTGCTGAGCAGAGAGCCCGATGCACGGGGCTTGATCCTAGGACCCTGAGATCATGACCTGAGCCGAAGGCAGAGGCTTAACCCACTGAGCCACCCAGGTGCCCCTTTAAAAATCTTAAGAAAGAAAAAAAGCCTGGGTTTGGTGACTTGGCCAAAGTGACACCTTTTGGGACCCATGGTTTTTCTCTTTGACAGGTCTAAAATCCTATAGTTTGAGAGGGAAGGACAATATATATGAAACCTCCACAGCAGCGCAGGGAATAAGAGAGTAAAACTAAAATGAAATTCAATCAGCAAGAAGCCAAGGGAGGAGATAAAAAGTGGTTCTCAAACTGGGACCTCCATGGGATGTTAAATTCTCACTTTGAAGCTGATGGTCTACACCAGTCAGTGAGGTGTATGCCTATGGCTGTAGCAAGCAAGGGGAGTACATTAGAGAAAAATCAATTTCTAAAATGAGTAACAAAAAATTCTTTGCAAGCAGGACTTGCAGGTTTTTCCTCGACTTTGCTCTGGGAGTGTTTCAGTCATTTCTCTCCTTGCTGGAACAGAAGACCTTTAGGACAGGAAGTCTTGGACCTGCGCCTGAAAGAACGAGGTTTTATTACATTCTCTAGCAAAGGCTGCACTACTTGCTGTGACGTTTATGAGGAAAAGTTGCCAGAGAGCAATCCAGTTAGCCATAGCCCCCCACTCCTCTCAGGTACAGCTCACGAATCCCGGACTATGCGGGTGTAGACCAAGAAGACACCAGGAGGAGAGGCCTACAGTGAACCCAGCCTGAGCGGGTTACAACGGGGGCAGCCAGGCACCTGTCCTAGCGGAGAGGGATAATCATCTGGAGTCTTCGCGACTGATCCAACCTGAAACGAGTGCCCGTTGGGAGTCTCAGGTCCTCCCCAGCTCACAGGCAGGAGCAGGAAAGCCCGGATCCCGCCTCGGGTTCTCACCAAGCCAAGCGACCCGGAGCGCTCCCGGAGGCGCCCAGAGGCCGGCCGGCTGGGGGTGGGGCTCGTGCTGTGACGCCGCCCCCCGCCTCGCCCCGCCCCGCGCGCGTTGCCGGGGTGATCAGGTGACTCGGAGCTCCCGGCGCTCCGGGCAGCCGTGACGTCAGACTTGCCGCGGCTCCTCTCTGGCTCGGTGGCAGGTGCGGTGCGTCTGGTGCGGTCTCATCTAGTCGGGTCAGGTCTTTACCAAACCAGTGCCCTACGGATTCGAGAAGAGGAGAGGTGAGTCGGGGCGGACGCAGGCCCAGCCGAGCTGAACCGGGGAGGGGTAAGGCGCAGGCAGGGCCCATCGGAGGTTTGGCGCGCCCGCGAGCCCCCCAAAGAGCACCATTAGGGCGGCAGGCACCGGGACGGGACGGACCGACTTCGGATGGGGTGTTCGCAGCCCCCGGGGAGGGAACGGGAGCCGGCGCAAAGCCCACCCAGGAGCCCCGCGGCTGTTCGTCCAGTTCTGGGTCGCCGCGCCGCTGTCGGAGGCTGGGAGGGTGGAGATCCTGCGCCGCCCGGCCGGCCACTGGGCCGTGGTCTGAAGGGGCACCGCATTTCAGCGTGTCTCGCCATGCCCGGATTCGGCGTGCTCCAAGCGGGGACCGCCACACCCCGTCCCGGGGGATTTGTACGGGAGGCTTCTGCAGCTCTTCGCCTTGGGCTGCGATTTCTGAGACGCTGCCGGGGGCCGGGAGGCCGCTCGGGAGGCCCCCTGGGGGGAGCAGAGGTCGGGGTGTTCAGAGAAGGTGTTAGGGGAGGTGAAGGAATCCTGATTCTTGAGAGGGGGGTAACTGGGATCTCAGTGGACCTGTTGGTGTAGGTGAAATCTGAGTGGAGTCCTGAGGGTTGAGGACTAATCTCCCCGCAGCGGTTGGGGGACGGAAGAATAGAGAGAGGAAAAGAGGACCTCTGCGGAAGGAGACCGTGAGCCTTGCGCAGGAGGTGAAGGAAAGACGAGACTGTTGGGTGACTGACTAGACCAAGGGCTAGGGCTGTTCTGGGAAAAATAACAAACAAGCAAACAACAACAAAAAACTTCGGAGAATTAGGTTAGGGCTGGTTAGGAAAAACTCTTGAGTGCCCGGTTGAGGGTTTGGGAGCCACTGAATCGTGGGTTGGGGTAAGAGGAACACTGGGATGGGGAGAAGCTGAGGAGGCTGCTGGGACAGCCTGGGAAAGAGGTGACAACGCCTAGAACTCTGGCCTGTTGGGATTCTGTGACCCCTGCTTATGAAATATAAAGAGGACGCCGACAGCCAGGTGCCTCCTCTCCAGCCAGTGTTAAATTAAAAAAATTCTTGTCAGGAAAAGGAAGCACCCAACTGCAGCTCATTTTCTTATTGCCTTTTTTTTTTTTTTAAAGTAACTTCTGTACCAAAGGTGGGGCTCGAACTTAAAACTCCCAGATCAAGAGTTGCCCCTCTACTGACTGAGCTAGTCTTGGGCTCCTCTTGTCTCTTTTGACCGGATTTAATGTCTACCTGTGAGCTTGTCCCCCTCGTTAAGCACGGGGGTTGTATTGTCCACAGCACTTGGCCTTCAGAGGTTTCAGTGTCTTAAAAACACTCATTATCCCCAAAGTGAAACCCAAATGCCAAGTGATTGGTAGGAGAGTTAATGGGGGAAAGTTATTAAAGGATAATCCATGCCCAAAACATGAAATGGAACATTGGGGAAACTGAAAGGAGTCTGTTTTTCGTTAATTGCAGAACTAAGAGGTGCTCTTTCATACATGCCCCCTTCCTCTTGTGGGCTTCTCAGCTTAAGGCTGTTTAAGTGTTAATTGGCCATTTGTCTTACTTTCCTGAGAAACAATTTTTCTTAAAAATTTATTTAATTAATTAATTTGACACTGAGAGAGCACAAGAAGGGGAAGCACAAGCAGGGGGAGCAGCAGGCACAGGGAAGGGAGAAGTAGGCTCCCCACCCAGCAAGGAGCCCTTGTAGGTCTAAATCCCTGAACCTGGCATGACCTGAGCGTAAGGCAGATGCTCAACTGAGGGTGCCATCCAGGCACCCTCAAGGTTTTTTTTGTTTTTGTTTTTAAGAGAGAATGCTGGCATGTGAGTGGCGGGGAGGGGCAGAGAGCGAGAAGAAGAGAGAGGAAGCTCTCAAGCAGGCTCCAGGCAGAGTTCCATGCGCGGGCTTGTTCCTGCAACCCTGAAATCATGACCTGAGGAAATCAAGAGCCAGCCGGTTAACCGACTGAGCCACCCAGGCCTCCCAAGAAACAAAAAATTTTGATTATTTAAGAGTAATGATTTGCTGATTTATGCTTTTTTTCCCAGTTCTGAAATTTGCTGATTCTGTGACCTTAAAAAAAAAAAATCGCTGCTTTCCATTTTATACTGAACCTTAGCAATTTGTTTTCTGGGAGAATGTGAAATGGCTGAACCTTCCCACCAGTTTGTGTTATGTTTGCTGCAGAAAATAGAATTGGACCTCTAGGGATCCTGTACAGTAGAAGGTAGTTTAGGGAACAGCAGAGAACTTGGGAAGGTGGCGGCAACTGGTTTGTGCAGCCCAAACCAGCACAGTACTCAAGGGAGAGCAAATCCAGGGGGGTGGCACTTAGGGAAAATGACCTTCCTTCAGATCAGTGAGGCCATTCTCTGTGAAATAAGTTTTATGATACGTCACCTGAGCAATGGGCATTTACCACGCAGTACTCACTGAAGAGTTTTTCCTACAGGTGGTAGGGCTTTTGTGATAATGATTTTTAAGGGTCTTTGCAGGAGTCCTATAATATTTAGAATCTCTGAAGGTTAGATTTCTCGGCCACATTTAAAAAGGATTTTTAACCATTTTCTAAATCTCTTTGGACGTATTTGAACCAGCTGACTAATCATGCTTCCTTTGAAAAGAAACAGCCCACCCCCACCCCCCAAACACTATAACTATGTGTTGTCAGGGCCATTAAGTAGGCCAAGAGTTTTGGGAAATTTTCTGCTTTCATTCACCCATGCCACCCACATAATTATTTTCATGTGTTTCCCTAAACCTAAGTATGATACACACCAGGGCTGGCTGCTCTGTGTCGAGGAACGGGAATGCTGTCCCATAAGGGGCTAGGAGCCAAGGTGAGAGGTAAGGCGGGGGTGGGGGGGATGGTGGTACAGGCCAGAGACTGAGCTAGGAGAATTCTTAGCCTTGCCCTTTGTCACCCAAGGCCCTCCGGGCAGGAGAAACAAGAGTCCTTTCTTGGGAGAGAAACATTCCTTGACCTTGAAACGGGATAATAGTTAGAACTCCCTTCGCAGAGGTACCAAGGAGAATTAATGAGAGGCATGTATGAAATTTGAGTTCTTCCAAAGCTGAAACTTTTCAATTAGCAATAATTGTGCTTCAGATAAACCTCATTGGCTATGATACCTCCACTGCTGAATCTTTTAATTCTTGGATGAATGGTGTATTTTGAGATGTAATGAAATAAAAAAGAGGTGAACATTCAAATTTTTTTTGAAATCCTTATTCAGACTCTAAGGTGTTTTGTTGGCTTTTTCTGCGGTATTTGATTATCGATAAGCCTATAATCAACACCTGGAGGCCTGAGGGTAAATGCAGGTTTATGTTTCATAAGGAAATCAGTTCGATGGTTCCCCACTCTTTTTTGGTTCTCTGAGAGTGCCTAGAGTAAGCCAGTAACTTAGCCGGGTGTGGAGCTTTCTGGAGCTTTCTACTCAATATCCTGTCAGCTCTAAAGGAGTTAGTTATTCTCATCAGAAGTAAAAGTGGGTAATAATGCTTCGTAAATTAAATGAGGAATGAAATAGTCCTCTCTTAAAATTCCCATATCCTGTGTCAGTCCGCTGGTCCTGCTACTCAGATACTCACATGCTTTGGTGTGCCCAGAACTGGACAGAACTACAGTCTCCATCTCTTAGACTTCCGGCATTTGTTGGCTAGGCATGGTTTTCACATGAGGAAAATTCTGATGGGAGAGGCTTCTTGTTTTTCTCAGGCAGCACAGAGTTACAGGCCTCCAAGTTCCCAGCACTTGGCCAAGGCTACTAATTGGCTTGGCTATAAAGTGGGAGTCAGCAATTAAACAGCAGTACAGAAGCAAGGGGATTGGGCATGAGTTGACTCTCCAGCCAAAAAGGTTCACACCACTTTGTGCACTATTTACAAAGGACTCTTCAAAAGGAAATGAACTTGGAATGATTTCTTGTGTGGTTTTAAAGAGACATGGGTAGAATATTAGTATTGATTTAGGCCTCAGAACCTGCGTTAGGAAACTTGATGGGCCCTCACTTCTAAAGTAGGCGAGACAAGTGGTTTGAATTCAGTCTCTATGGATAGCAATTCTGAAGTATGACTTTGCCAAAAACAAGGGATGATTTATATGTATTTTTTAAAGATTTTATTTATTTATTTGACAGATAGAGATCACAAGTAGACAGAGAGGCAGGCAGACAGAGAGGAGGAAGCAGGCTCCCCGCCGAGCAGAGAACCCGATGCGGGGCTTGATTCCAGGACGCTGGGATCATGACCTGAGACGAAGGCAGAGGCATTAACCCACTGAACCACCCAGACGAACCTATATTTTTGTGAAGCCTTTCAGTTAAATGGTTTAAGGCAGTGTTGGTAGTCATGGTGGGAGGAGAGTTTGATCTACCTGAATTTACTCACTGAGGAGTAATGCTGTATTCACAATGCCTATCATTAGTTCTCTGATTTATGCTAAAGAATCATTAGTCATCCCCAGAGAGTTGGCCCAGAAAATATATCATTACTGAAAACTATCAGACCACATGGTCTCATTGTTCAAAGAAAGATAGGGATGGGGAATAATTAACAACAAAGTTATTTGGAAAGAAGATGACCTGGGAAGAGGTGCTAGACTTTTGCCACATTAATTTTTATTTTATTTTATTTTTATTTATTTTTTTTTAAGATTGTATTTATTTATTTGACAGAGAGAGATCACAAGTAGGCAGAGAGGCAGGCAGAGAGGGGGAAGCAGGCTCCCCGCTGAGCAGAGAGCCCAATGCTGAGCTGAAAGCAGAGGCTTTAACCCACTGAGCCACCCAGGCACCCCTTATTTTATTTTTTTAAAGTAAGCTCCACACCCAGCGTGGAGCTCAATGTGGGGTTTGAACTCAAAACCGTGAGATCAAGACCTGAGCTGA